AGACAAGGCTGTGATCTGAAATTCCCAGGTGAATGACACCTAATCTGGAAATATTTTCTGGTCTATTTGTTAATATTAAATCAATTAGTGTAGCTGATTTAGGAGTTAGCCTTGTAGATTCTTTAATAAGTTGGTCTATCTGATACAGAGAACATAAAAATTGCAACTTACATGTGCGAGGGTCAGGTATAGTTTTACTGACATCACAATTTAGATCTCCTATGAGGATTAGCTTCTTATCTTCATTATCACATTTTGCTAAAAAACTTGCCCAGTAATCAAATATATTCATAAGAGAATTTGGTGGTCTATACCATGTGCTTATTAGCAGTGATTTATTGTAGGGTAAACTTAATTCAATGCAGACCATCTCAAGTTCATCAGGGATTAGATCTATTCTATCTGAGAATGATATGTTTTGGCGAACATATAGAACCACACCACCACCAAACCTATTTCGATCTTTACGAATTATATTAAAACCATCAATATGTATCTCATTATTTGAAATCTGATTATCAATTTTGGACTCATTAATTGCAAGAATGTCAAGGGCGTTATTGCTAAGGATTAAGCGAATTTCATCCAGATGTTTCATTAAGCTATTTACATTTAAGTTGGCTATCTTCAAACCTTTACTTTTGGCGATTATGTTAATTTCACTATCTATGCCTAATAAAGAATTGCTTGGCACATCTTGACAATTTACTTGTTCAAGTTCATTATCGCATTTAGTAGTTCTGCCAGATGGTTTATTGTGTTCTTTGGAAAATCCTGACGGGAATGTTTTTGTGGGCGCAGTGAACTTAAGAATTGCCCATCCCTAAGGAACTTAATAAAATGTGTAGCTAGTATGGCAGTCCCCTTTGCATTTAGATGCAGGCCACTAGAGTTCAAATATGTCTCATCTATTGACATATTACTTATAAATGTCACATCATGCTTAGATGACAAACTCTGAACTTTCTCATTAATTTCTTCTATTTTTGATATTAAATCACTATCCTGTCTCAATGTAAGTCCAGAAATTCGATGGGTTCATCGTCATGTGTGTATTATTAGTTACCAATAGCAGTGTGCTGGTTTAATTACCCGGTCGTAATATTACACAATGGCTAAACAAAAACATAATAACTATTGGTTACTCTAGCGAAATAAAAATACAATACACACATGACGATGAACCGACCATTTTTTTTGCATAAACCAAGACAAAAACATAGATATGTCTATTACGTCTGCATCGAGTTCCCTAACCTTCTTATTCTATTGACTATGATTACATTGATTGACAGCTGCCTAAAGGAATTGCTACTTCCAGGAAAATTGAAGCCAACATAATTTTATATTTAAATACAAATGGAAATAACTGTTAGGTAGAATAATAATGGCTATATGTTATCGTAGATCTCCTTGAATGACAAGCTTATGAGGTTTTGCAAGCTTAAATATTTCCACTAATTTGCTAAGTTCGATATTGTTGGCTAGATCTCGTTCGTTGCTAATCTGGACAAGGTCCTCGAGTCTATCAGGTGACATAACAACTCGCAAATCATTGTTTATTATTTTGACCTTGCTGTGTGTGCGCTCACATGATGCCACTGTCACAGGCAAGGTAGCGAGTCCGACCTCAAACAAGTCGGGATAAAGGTGGTGCAGATCATATTTGCTGAAAACTTCGAGCAAGGAGGGCAAGCAAATCCAAGGTGGAAACTTTCTTTTGGACCCTATCTCTAGACTCTTTCCTTTCCTTCTCTTCGCTGCTATGATGCTCGTATGTAATCTTCCAGTTGTTACATTGAATATTCCAGTTATATGTACTCTTCGTACCATTTCTTTTGGAATGTAAACTTTCTCATCGATATTTCCGATGTTGAAAAATCTAAGATAGGTCTAACCGTCAAGATTTGAAAACGAAGGTTCTATTTGCCTCCCTCACACACAATTTCACTTGATGGATCTCTTCCTTCAAACATTTTCTCTTTCAGTTGTGTAGTGATGCATTCCAAGAAGCTAATGACCATATGTTGCGCGAACGGTGCATTAATTAATTAACATATCTCCCTCACATCTTAGCAGCAGGTCCAAACTTCCGCATCACACATTACCCCTTGCACTTAATTTGGGTAATATGTTCACCCATTATGATGGGTTTCCTTCGGCGGTCGTAATCAGTGCCTGCAATATGCTAATGGTAAATACCGCATAGATGAAACGGTCTTTTGTCAAAAGTAAAGCGAAGATCTTTTAATACCGGTTTTTATTCACACAATAAAGACTGAATTTATTAAGTTAGATCTAAATAACTGGACTGATGTCACAAACGTACCCCCCCCCCCCAATTTTCTCACCGGATTTGGACAAATTAGAAAATTGACCTTGAAGAGAACTGGGGGGGACGTGTCCTCCCCAGTCCTCCCCGTGGCGCCGCCACTGCCTCAGCGTCAGGAACCTTGTTCTCAGCGTCAAGAACCTCGCGAAAGGCCTCCGAAGTTTTTACTCTTGTGCAATCGAGTGAGATCATATAAATTTGATTATCGCGTATCATGTTTATTATAATAATCACTATAATAATCACAGTTCACGAAACAGGCATCCTTAATTCTCATGTCACATTTTTATCAACAATCAGGCCTGACGGCTGTAGAACAAATCACATTTCACGACACTAAAATGAAGCATTTCACATGTCCGCACACGAACAAATATTCACCTTTCATGGCTCACGAAAATACCGTTTCCCACAAGCCCGTAGCTGGCTCTCAATTTCTGGGTGGGGGGGCATTGCAGAAAGAATGTAACAGAGGATTTGAGATGAGGGGTTAAAATTTTTTTTCTGTCTGACAAGACCTCCCCTCCCCGGACAAAAAATTTTCCGGACGAGTACATTGTTGGTTTCCAGGTCCTTTATCTCAATTTTTGATACCAAATTTCGGTACTTAGCCCAAAAATTAACAGCTATTAGTTCTGTAAAACGTAAGGGAGGGGGCATAATTTCAATTTTATTTTCGAGCGGGGGTACTGGGGGGCACTTCCCCACCTCAGCCACCGTCCTGCTTTCCCACCGTCTGTCGTGGATACGGCAAAATACAGAACTTTTCCAACTGTTCTCTGAGACTGTTTTTTTGTACGCTAAGAATAAATCCAAGAATGCGTTTTTGAAAAAGGTAATAATGACTCTTAAAACTTTCAAATATATTTTTATCCGATTATAAGGTAATAAGGGACTGCTCATTATTTATTATACAGGGGAAGACTGAGGAGAAACTCTACAGTTATAACATTTTTTCGTTGCCCCCTCTTAAGACAAGTAACATTTTCAAAGCCCCCCCCCCAACAGGCAAAACAAGAACATAAATTTTGGTCCCCCCTCTAGCTCTTTATCTTTATTTAGAGAAACAAAAAAAGATAATTGGGGCCAATAGCCAATTTCCATTATAGACTAATTTTTTATCTTAACAAAAAAATATATTCCCGGGAAGGGCATACTATAATTAGTAAAATTGCAAAGTGTGGTTGCAAAATGTTGTAAAATGTAAAAATATAGCCTTCGAAAATTTGCAAATTTTGTATACTTTTGTATTGCAATTTTCGCATGCAATACAGAAGTATACAAAATTTGCAAACTTTGCAAGGCTATATTTTCCGTATTTTACAAAATTTCGCGACCAAACTTTGCAATAATTTACTTATTTTAGTATGCTCTTTCTAGCTGTGGTGATTTATTTGCATCAAGGCCGGATTTTGAGGCGAGGTGTGGAGAGGTGCGCGCCTCCCCTGAGACCCCTTGGGAATTAGTTTCAATGATGGAACAAAGTGAAAATGTGATGGTTGCTTAGGATCTACACTTCGTGACGTGAGAAAGTTTTCTCTGTAAAATTTAAACAGTGATGGCCATAGATCTCTGTGTCAAGTAACCTTTTAATGCAATGTTTTGAAAGAAACTTTGTAGCAATTGTAATGATTAGGGCAAGATTGGAGTCATACATTCATAATTCATTAATACACTGGTACATATGTACACTACATGCATATCTCACCTCGTTGATATTGGCCTGTTCTACAATAAGCCCTAACTTTCCATGGGGGTTGTAAGCTAGACCGCTGCACCTCCCCTAACATTTTTTTCCACCTCCCCCACTATTTTCACCAAAATCCGGCCTTGATTTGCATCTCTTTGCCTAGTTCTAAAATTAGTCTATAATGGGAATTGTCAATTTACACTGAACATAAGAGAC